GAAAATCTATCTTTTAATGATGAAAACGTCTCTTTTCTTCATACCTTCAAGTAAGGTTTAACTTTTACGAAGTAGCAATTTTTTTTTTTTTAGTAAAGAATAAAAAAAAATTCATTTAATCAAAAATTTCTTTTGATAGCATTATCATATGGCAAATGATGTGCAAGACGTGAATTGAATTATGCGGCTTCAGGAAAGATATATCTTCATTCAAATCTTGCTTTTGGGAAATAAACGGACAGCCAACGACCTCCGGTACTGGAATCGTCAGTGTGGTACCTCATCGACTGATCTTCCGGTTCGTACAGTAATTTATCCTTCATATTACCAATATATACCATCGAATAATTCCAGGATTCTCTTAGTATCTTATACTTGGAAAAAGAATGCGACAAAATACGGTCTATACAGCGAGAAAGAAATGTTTGAGCTTGCATTAAAAGACATTGTAACGCTTCATGGAGATATAGCACTCAAAGAATGGATTCCGGCAAAAAGAATAATAAGGCAATTTATTAGCCGAATGATAAAACCGCTGGCGGAGGGGCCTTTGCAGAATTTGGACCCACTCAATTTGGAGAATTGATAGAATCTATGATGAGATAGGAAGATTATATCCATTTTGCTGAGGAGCATACCGATATATTTCACACTTGGATTGTTAGAGCTTTAAATTCCGGCATTAGAGTAGTTAGAAAGGTCTTGCTTGAAAATTTGATGAAGGATAGATAGTTGAAATTAAAAAATTCACGATTTGGATTGGAAATCTTGAAGCCTTTGAAGGTTATGAAAATTGAGTATGATTGTAATATTAAATTTTTGTATAAATATAAATTCATTTCTTATTTTGCAAAATAAAGAAATGTAAAATTAATTTTAAAAAAAAGGTAAGATATTAACTAGACACTAAAATTTTAAATACTTAATTAATTAATTATTTAAATAAATAAATGTAAATAGCGCAGTTACGGTTTGTATAGTTTCTGTTTAAAAATAGAATATTCGAATATTTGTTTTAAATTCAAATATCTGAAAATACATTTTCAAATATCAAAAATCAATTCGGAGCATCCACGTTGTATTATTACGATTTCTTGTTATAAATCTGCATTACTTTTTGTAAATAAATTGCATTATATATTAATTATTTTTCAAAGTCGGTAAATATATATATGCCCGTTTCTAAATTAATAAAATAAAAATAAAACTAAAAAATAAAATAATTCAAATCAAAATGAAAAAAATAATAGAGAATACGAAAAAAATAAAATATAAAAAAAAGATA